CAGCCCGGCCCGCGGGGACCCAGCGCTCCCCGGTGCCACCTCCTCCCCGGTGCAGCAAGAACAGCGACAGGTCTCACCAGGACCCCGCGCTAACCTGGGCTGGGCCCGTGCCTGGGGCTGTGCTCATGGGCAGAGTCCCACACTGGTTTGGGGTGGAGGGACCTTCAACATCATCCAGTGTCCCCCCTGCATGGGCAGGGACACCTCCCAGCAGCCCAGGTTGCTCCAAGCCCCATCCAACCTGCCCTTCAACACTGCCAGGGATGGGGCTGCAGATAATTCCTCAGGCCTGCCAGGATCACTTTTGAAAACCTGGGTCTCTTCCTGCCCTTCTTCTGGGTCTTTCCCTGCCTTACCCTCTCCCTGAAGGGTAAGTCAAGACCTCAGAGGCCTTGCTGCAGTGCTCTCCAGTGACCCAGCAGGGCCTGTGGAGTTTAACAACTGCCCTATGTCCAAATCTATTCCTTTTGGTTGTCTCTTGCCCACTGTACCAAGGGAGGTGTTGTGGCAGGACAGGAGTTTGTTATCTATGTTCAAAATTACCATGGATGGAATATACTCCAACCAACAGCTTCCCTGGGCAACCTGGGCCAGGGTCTCACCACCCTCACAGGGAAGAATTTTCTCCTAACCATGGGACAGTTTGGGTTGGAAGGGACTTTAAGGATCATCCAGTCCCACCCCCTGCATGGGCAGGGACACCTCCCACCAGCCCAGGCTGCTCCAAGCCCCATCCAACCTGCCCTTCAACACTGCCAGGGATGGGGCAGCCACAGCTTCCCTGGGCAACCTGGGCCAGGCTCTCACCACCCTCACACCAAAGAATTCCCTCCTAATCATGGAAAGGTTTGGGTTAGAATGGACCTTAAAGATCATCTATTTCCAACCCCCTCTACTAAACCAGCTGCTTTCTTGTATTAAACCACATCCCATCTCATCCAAATCTCCCCTCTTCCACTTTGAAGCCATCACCACCACAACCTGCCCAGGATCCTGAAAACAGGAGACAGATTTTCTTTTTGTGTTTTTTTTTTCTTTTTTTCTTTTTTCTTTTTTTTTTCTTGAAAAAAAAATTCCTTTATTGGAACTCATCTGAACATCAGATATACCTGGTGTTGGTTAGCAAGAACCGTTTGTACATTTGATATTGATGGTGCCAAAAAACCCAAACAGTGACCAACTGGATGAGATGGAAAAGTTTAAAAAGAAGGGAAAAATAAAAACAAACCAAAACAAAAAAAAAATACAACAAAAAACATGGTGGGAAAGATCAAATGGTGAAGGGAAAGCAGAAAAAATTCAGCCAGTCTAAAGTGTGAAGGCAAAGTATTTCCTGATGAAACAGAATCTTTTTACAAAATAGAAGGTTTTGGTTAAGAAAAAGGTGGAGGGAGAGAGAAAAACAGAGACAGAGGGGAAAGGGAAAGTGAAAAGCTGAGCAGGACAGAGATGCAGAAGCTTACACTGCCCAACTGGCATCAACACCCAGCTAGGAACCTCACCATCACATGGAAGATGCTGGAACACCCCCTGCTCAACCCCCCAACCCATGACTTGGGGACAATGAGAAGGAAGCTCCCCAGCAAGTGCTGCACCAGGTTAGTCCAGAAGGGCCAAGTTGTCTCCCGTGGGATGTTTTAAAAGAAAATAGTAAAAAGAAAAGGCTAATTCAGCAGAGGGAAAAACCCAGAGGCTGCTGAGAGCCTGGGGACTCAGGGAATGCCTGCTCACCTGTTCTTCCTACCAGTGCAGGTGGGGAAGAAGGAGAAAACATTTAAAATCTAATCTATTTTAAAAGAAGAGCATGCAACACAGGCCTCCAGGGGAAACCTGCTCTGTTCCCTTTATTAGGACTGGCCTGATGGGTCTAGACAGTGGGTGCTGCCACCCTGGGGGGTTTGGCATAGGGTGGGGCTGGGCTGGCCCCACAATGACCATCCTGAAGCAGATTCCTCAGGACAAATCATTGTGGAGCTGCTGTCAAGGGAGGGATCTGAGGAGGCCTTTAAGATTGAAAACAGAAGCAGCAAGTCTGCACATTTTGGATTTGGTTTCTTGTTGGTTCAGTACAAATGGAATCAACTTGGCTGCTCAGACACCATCAGTGAGCCTCAGATTTCAGAGCAGAGGGAAGAGATGGAACCAACTCTGGCTTGGGCACCTATTGGTAACAAAACTTTGTCCCTGCTTAAACTCTCTTGCCACCCCTCAGGAAGTGGAAAGCACATGTTTAGGTAGTGTAAGCCTTTTTCCTTTTATTTAGAATACCCTCTTGGTTTAAACAATATTTTCCAACCCCCCCTCCCACCCCCAAAAAAAAAAAAAGATACAAAGTTCAGCCAGTAAAGGTTACATGGAAACTGGAACAGCATCGTATGGAGCACAGGATGCACTGGATGAGGGAGGTTAAAAACTTTCCCAGTGAAAAGTAGAACAAAGAGGGGGGAGGGTGGGGGGAAGAGAAACAAAACAAAAAAAAAAACCAAAACAAACAAAACAAAACAAACAAAAAAAAGGCTCCTAACATTTTCCCAAAGGTTTCACTCTCCTGTCACACACACTCTCCAAAGGACAGTTAGCAAATTCAACTCTGCAAAAAGAAAACAGAGCCACGTCAATCCAGGAGGGAAAAACCAGGCTCAAGGAGACAACACTGCACCTTGGGCTGGGAGGAGGGATGGGTGTGGAGCAGCTGCCACCTCCAGCCTCCTCTGCTCACCTATGTCAACTTCTTGGCTTTGTTGTAGAGCGAATCCACTACTTTGCTCATGTTCTGGATGGTCTCGAGGGCGGCTTCGTAAGTTTTGTCTACGGGGGGTTCGTCAAAGATGATCAGGACTCCCTCACCTTGGTCAAGGATGCCTGTGGACACAGGGCTGTGGTCACCAGCCTGGCACTCCACACATCCCATCTTCCTGAGAGCAGGAATTATGGGATCTGACCAGCTGGGCTGGGTTTCACAGAATGACAGGACTGTCATGGCTGGAAAAGACCCTCTAAGATCACCCAAGTCCCAGCATCAAGCCAGGAAAAACCCACCCTGTCCCCTGGAGCGTGGCCTGAAGTGTCACATCTGCATGTTCCATAGAATCATGGGATGGTTTGGGCTGGAAGGGACCTCAAAGCTCATCCAGTCCCACCCCCTGCATGGGCAGGGACACCTCCCACCAGCCCAGGCTGCTCCAAGCCCCATCCAACCTGCCCTTCAACACTGCCAGGGATGGGGCAGCCACAGCTTCCCTGGGCAACCTGGGCCAGGCTCTCACCACCCTCACACCAAAGAATTTCCTCCTCAGGTCTCACCTAAATATCCCCTTGAATACATTGCTTGAAGCCCTGCAGGGCTGATGACTCCACCACCTCCCTAAGCAGACTGTTCCAGGGTCCAACCACTCTTCGGGCACAGAAATCCTTCCCAACATCCAGGCTGAACCTCCCCTGGCCCAACTTCAGGCCAATTCCTCTAGCCCTGTCATTCTCCAGTAGGCAAAAGAGGCCACTCCCACCCCTCACCACAACCTCCTGTCAGGTTTTGCAGGGGGTTCATGTGCTGAACTGGATTTTGTCTGGACTGCATTAGCAGTTGTTACCCAGAAAACACCAAAAAAAGCATCCAGGAGAGGGGCTTAAGCCATCCAAGAGATGCTTATGCCTGCACATTCCCTGACAGCTCCCTCCCTCCTGGAGGCCCCTGTGCCCAGCAGGATGGCTCAGCACAACACTGGAGGAAGTTTAAAAAAGCCATTTTATAATTAAACTCCTTCCAGGTGCCAGCTGGGCTCTGTCATTTCTGAGCTGTTCTCTGCCCAACCTGCTGCTTCCAGCCATTCATCTTGCTCAGCCACACCAAGAGGGTTTTTCTAAACCCACACTGGGGACAATGTAAACAAGAGTAGAGCTGTTTCCTTCAGGGCTTAATGGAGAAGCAGCCTCCTGTGCTCTCAGACAAACCCAAACCAACTCATTGTGCTGTGGTGGTGCCCCCAAAAAGCTCCTGACATAAATTATCCAGGAGAGGTGATCACATCCTCCAGCAAACTCCAGGGCAGAAGACCCATCCTTGCTGGACCACCAGGTCCACCAGCAGGTCCCACAACTGCCCTTGGGTGCAGCAGCAGCAAACAAGGGCTTAAATGTTGGTTCTGATTTGAAAGAAATTAAGCCTTGAGCTCAACAAAGGCAGATGGGGCAACAGGAACAGCCTCTGGGCAACAGAGCAATTATAACCCCAGAACCAAGTCCTGTTCACCTGCTGCCCCAAGCAGAGCACCCTGAGGAGGACACTGAGGATTCAAAGGTTCTGGGATAAAGAGGAGCCACCCCTCAAGCTTGGTCACATCCAACCTGGCTATGGGTAGTGAGTGAGGCACCCCAGACTGAAGAGTGGAGGAACTCACCGTGAAATTTCTTGTCCAAGATCATCTGTGACAGTTTCCTTTCTACCTCGGCCTGAAAATGAAGCAGAGAAATTAGAAGTCTCCCAGAACTATAGGAAGAAATGTGAATTTTACTGCCCCACAGGCCTGGTGGGACATAAGCACTGATTCAAAGCAGGTATTTATAGATTCACAGATGGGTTGGGTTGGAAGAGACCTTAAAGCCCATCCAGTCCCACTCCCCTGCATGGGCAGGGACACCTCCCACCAGCCCAGGCTGCTCCAAGCCCCCTCCAACCTGCCCTTCAACACCCCCAGGGATGGGGCAGCCACAGCTTCCCTGGGCAACCTGGGCCAGGCTCTCACCACCCTCACACCAAAGAATTTCCTCCTCATGTCTCACCTCAATCTCCCTCTCCCACTTTTCATCCATCCCCCTCATCCCATCCCTCCCTGCCCTTGTCCCAAGTCCCTCCCCAGCTTTCCTGGAGCCCCTTCAGGCACTGGAAGCTGCTCTAAGGTCTCCCTGGAGCCTTCTCTTCTCCAGGCTGAACACCCCAACTCTCCCAGCCTGTCCCAGAGCTGCTCCAGCCCTGGGATCATCTGCATGGCCTCCTCTGGCCTCTCTCCAGGAGCTCCCACTGAACATGGTGTCAGGACAGATCTCTGCATGCTGCTTTGATACCACCAGACATTTAAAATGACATCATCAATTAAGCAGTAGCTTTTTATGACAGGAGCACCAGGATGTCTCACCCTCTTGCCCCACAGAGAACAGTGTCTCTGTGACTTCATACAGGCCTCACTCATCAGGGGTTCTGCAGCATTCTAACTTGGTTCAGGGAGTATTTTGTTCAAGTTTTGGGCAAGCTTCATTTAATCCACTCAGCACCAGGCTGAGCCCTGCTCAGCACCAGGAAAGGGCCCCAGTCAGCTCCTCCTCTGCTCTCTGGGCAGAGGACACAGCTGCAATTAGGACACAACTGCAGCCCAGCTTCTCCTCCAACTGCAACGCTAAGGACTGGTGAAGGACAAGACTGCACAGGCAGAAAAGTAGGAGAGATGATGCTATGACCATAAAGGCCAAGCTCAGTACATTTCCAGACCTCTGACCATAATGCCAATCCAGGATTAAAGCCCTTTGGGGTGCAACTGGCTGGGACTACAGTGGGCATTCCTCCAACTGAGTGTTGTTTGGATTATCTGTACAGCAGTTATTGCCACAGTCTCTGTGACATACACATCCCTGAGGAAACTTCCAAGTGGTCACCTGGGTCCTGTACTTTAAGGGTCTAAAAGATTTCACTGAGCAGGCTCAGGAGGATTAAATGCAGGTCAATGAGGAAGACTGAGGTGGTCACGACATGAGCTGTTATGACAGCAGAGGAAAGTTTGTCTCCAAGGAAAAGCAAGTGCTAAGACAGGCAGGAAGACCCATGAGAAGGGAGATGATGCCCCAGCAAAGCCCAGGGCAGAAGAAGCCAGTCCCACAGCTCCTGGAAACCATCAGTGTGACTGTCAAGCTCCCCAGTGGTATTTGCCTGTAACCACTGCAGAGCTGCTCTGCCAGGCTGAAGGGCCCAGCTTTGCCTCCCAGTGGAAAAATGCCCCTTGACCTCAATTCCTCTGCCCTCTGCTGAGTAGCCAAGTTCTTACCTTTGATAGCTTGATGAGGCTGGATATGTGTTCAATCTACAAGAGAGACCAAAAGAGTGAAGTCAATCTTTAGCTGCCCATTTGACACACAACATGGAGGTGTTGGGGGCTCTGGCCTAAAAATCTCCAGTGGCTTCTCAGCTTTGCAGCTTCATGCCCTTCAGATTTCATGTCCATTTTTAACTGAAGATGGGACTTGAAACCTAAAGCCATTGCATTCTGCAACATGAAAACACATTTCTTCTCCAAGATTATGGCAGCTTTACCCACCCCCCTCCAGAGCTCTCAAAAGCCACACTGTCACCTTTACTGCTGAAACCAGGCCCTTCAGCAAGCACACATGAAGCAGTGGAAAGTGCTCTGGAAAGTGGTTTTCTAAAGCTTCCCTCAGCCCCCTCCTTGGCATTTTTCAGCTGAACATGATGAACCCTGAGCTCTGGAAGAGCTGAGCAGCTCAGAGTAATGATGTATGTTCCATCTGTGTGGAACACACCCCTCAGCCCCCAAGGGCAGGGGACAGAGATGCCAGCACATTGCTGTGCAGACTGGAAACATTTACCTGTACTCTAGAGAAGGGTTCAATGACTCTGATCAGATTCTGTTCCAATAAATTATCATAGAGCTTAGCCAGGTGAGTGTTGATGATGGGGTCGTCCCTGAGCTCCACCTTATAGTCTGTCAGAGCCTGCAAAGACACAGCAGGAGCAAATAATTCAGGTAGCACCAAGTCTCCCTGTCCTCAAAGCCCTCCAAGAAAGGAGGAGCCTTCCCTCCCTGCCCAGCAAAGTGCCCATGGTTAATCCACTGCCATGACTTTGCTAACAGGCCAGGAGATCCCAGCAGGCTTTCAATCACGTGCACCAACACCTTTCATCTGTACCCTGCTGAAGCTCAGCATCTCTGGTTTGCACTCAGGAGATGGCACAACAGGATTGTTCCCTGCCGTGGGAATCCCCTCTGTTATCTCTGGGGTGTTCTTGCTAAAGTCAGGGAAAATTTTAGGAAGAAACACACCCCAGTGAACAGCACCAGAGGTACAGGAAACTGCTTCTGAGTTCACTCTCCAAAAACCAAAGGAAACCCCTAATTTCAAGCAAATTATTACTCCCCATGCAGTGAAAACCAAACTGGCTGGTCAGTGTGAGCTATTTGCTCAATGCACTGCTGCTTTCTAGCAATGTTTGTGTGGTTTCCTGCTGTGGGATGCAGCAGCTCCTCCAGCTTCCCACAACAACAACGTTTAGTCCAGCCAGGCCCCATTTTCTGTCTCTTCACTCACCTTTTCAAAGTCTGCCAGCGACCGGTTCTTGCTGGCCTGTGCCACACATTTTAGTGCTTCTGTCTGCAGAGGGAACAAAACCAGAGCAGGTTATTTTCCCTGCACTCTCCCCTCAAGGGTGAAGTATCCTGCAAACGTGCTGAAGAAGCAAAGCAGGCATGTCACCTGTGCTACAGAGCCATGTCAGTGTTCCCTCCACACAGGCAGAGAAGGAACAGCTGCTCCCAAGGAGCACAAGCAGAACAGCTGCAGGACACGGCGTGAAATCAACCTCCTGGAAACAAAGACCTCAAGTTCTGCAAGGTTTGGAGACACCAGCTGCAGTTCCTATCAGGTTGCAGGTTGGGGGTGAGTTTGATACCATTTGGAAGAAACATTTTGGCACTTCAGTGCCATTTTTCAGCCCTCGAGCTGCGTTGCTGCCCTTCAGGGCCACGCTGAGTCCTACAGACACCCTGTCACCCACAGCACCACAAAGTGGATCTTCTCTGGCCCCACAGCTGCTGAAACAAAGACTCAGCCACAATCAAACTGCCATGTCTGTATCAGACTGAACAGCAACGTCCCTAGAACAGCACCCCAGTGGTACAAAGTCAAGCAGGACAGCCCCGTGGCCACAGTGCACAAGGCCCAGGCTGCTGCCACCAAGGCTTTCCTCCTGCTCCCTAAGCTCAGTTTCCACAGCTGCTGCTGGAATTTGGGATCCCTGCTGGCCTGGGAGACAGCACAGGGAACAGCTGAGCTTTCCTCCATGGAAACCTGCCTTCCTGCTCTGAAAAGGAGCCTCTGACCCAGCTATCACTCAGGGGAAAGGGGATGCAGCAGCACCAGAATGACAGAACAGTCATGGTTGGAAAGGACCTTTAAGATCAATCAGTCCAACCATTAACCCAAAAAAACTCAAACAAAAACAAAACCACAACACAACCTCGGCCACAAGGTCCTGAAGTACCAAATCTACACCCAGGGCCTGACCACTCTTTGGGCACAGAAATCCTTCCCAACATCCAGGCTGATCCTTCCCTGGCTCAACTTCAGGACATTTCCTCTGGGCCTGTCACTCTCCACGTGGCAGAAGGGGCCAATCCCCCCCTCACCACAACCTCCTCTCAGGTAGTTGTAGAGGGCAATGAGGTCTCCCCTCAGCCTCCTTTTCTTCAGACTAAAGACTCGCAGCTCCCTCAGCTGCTCCTGCTCACCCTTGCGCTCCACTTCCTTCCCCGGCTCCCTCGCCCTTCCCTGGACACGCTCCAGCCCCTCCGTGTCCTTCTTGTCCCCAGGGGCCCAGAACTCACCCCAAGATTCCAGGTCTGGCCCCACCAGTGCCAGCACAGGGGACAATCCCTGCTCTGCTCCTGCTGGCCTCACCACAGTTGGTACCAGCCAGGATGCTGGCCACCACCCTCACAGGAAAGAAGTTTCTCCTCATCTTGAGGTGGAACTTCCTGTGTTGTCACTTGGTGCTGCTTCCCCCCGTCCTGTCACAGGCACTACTGAACAGAGACTGGTCCATTCTTAACACCCCCCTTCAGATATTTATAGACATCCCCTCTCAAGTCTTCTCCAGACTAATCAGCCCCAAGTCTCTCAGCCTTTCTTCATCAGACAGATGTTCCAGTCCCTTCATCATCCTTGTAGCCCCCCTGGGACTCTCTCCAGTCAATCCCTGTCCCTCTTGAACTGGGGAGCCCAGAACTGGACACAACACTCCACATGTGGCTTCACTAGGGCAGAGATTTTGGCCTGTACTTTTCAGAAGCACCCCCAGGTTTCACACAGGGTTGGCAATCCCAGACTGGCACATTAAGGTGTCAGAGGAACAGTTGGTCTAACAACTGCCCAGCTGCTTGGCTCTCATCTCACACTCATCTAGGTCTCAAGCTGCTCAGCTATGCTGCTGCAAAAGGCTTTTCAGGACTTGCTACAACACAAGTGAAAAACCAGGGATAAACCAGGTTTAAATCCATCAGCTCCAGGGCTGCAGAGCAGTTGGAGGGGGTTAGGCACATGGACCTGGTGGCATAAGACACCAAATGGCTCAGGAAGAAAACAGGAAGGGAAAAAACCAGAGCAAATAAAGGCAGCAAGCCAGATCCTCAGGCTGTGAAAATCACTGTATTCCCTTTGAAGGCCACTAACTTCTGGTCTTGACTTATGGTAACTGAATCAGTTCTGAAGCTCGTTGAGAAGTGAAGGGTATTTTGGTACCAAAAAGACCAAATATTTGATAAAAAGAATAACACAGCATTCTCAGAGATAAGAGGAAGGGAGAAAGGACTCAGTTTCCATACCTGTCTTCCTGCATATCGCAGGGCAAGCTTCCCACTCACCAAGGCCTGCACATCCTCTGGGCTAGAGAAAGGAAGAGAACAGTTACTGACCAGCACAGCTTCCACCTGAGTGTGCCTCAGAAACTTCCAACTGAAACCAAATGACTACAATCCAAGTGACATTGTATCAGAAACATAAATCGGGTCATAAAGAGACACAACCGGTAAAGCTTGGCTGCCTGAGTTCTCTGACCAGTTTAAGAGTCTTACAAACAGAAAGCATTTCAACCCCAGCAGAATTATTCATGGAACCTTTTGCCACCTACATGTTCAGCATGATTTTGCACAGCAACATGTATTTCAGAGCAGTGATGGCTTTTGGGTTGTCAATTGAATCGTATCCCTCAAACGCCTCGTAAAAATATGAGTAGGCTGTTTTCCAGTCCTTCTCTTCTGCTGCATGGATGATCCCTGTGGAGAGAGCAAGCAGGCAGGCATCAGAGTCCATTTGGAATGTGGCTGGAAGAGGACAGAGGAAATGGGACCTGCAAGTGCTGAAGGACAGGCTGGATGGGGCTTGGAGCAGCCTGGGCTGGTGGGAGGTGTCCCTGCCCATGCAGGGGGTTGGATCTAGATGATCTTTAGGTCCCTCCAACCCACACCAGTCTGGGATCCTGTTTGGTTGCCCCATGCTCTATCTGGCACTTCAGCAAGGGGAATTCTTTCCTCTGTGCCCCCCTTTACCTTATCACTATCAGAAGAACATCCAAGCTCTGTCTTAAGGGGTTATGTCAAGAACGAACAAGCTGGGGGCATTTCAGGGACAAAGTCACAGTGACACTATATGGTGTAATGCTGTAGTGCCCAGGGAGGTTATGGACCCTCCACCACTGCAGGCTTTCAAAAATGGGCTGAAAAAGCATCTGTCAGGAGCAAGTACCTCTAGCTGATCCTGCCTTGAGGCAGCTGAGCAGCCTTGTGGGTATCTCAAGGTCCCACCTAACATCATTTTCTAGGAATCCCTCAAGAAGAACAAGTGTCAGTTAAATGATGCCTTGTGTCAAACCCTAGGGGCTCCCCTTCTCCTAAAGGGCTTTACCTGACTGCATGTCTAAGGCTGCCTGCAGCTTGGGTGGGCAGTAGATGGCATTGGCTGTGGTCCGTGCAGAGGTTAAGGCTGCTCTTGCTTTTGGCAGGTTGCTCAGGGCATGGTAAGTCTTGCTTTCCAGCAGCTGCACTTCCACCAGCAATGCCTTGTCATCCATCTTTTTCAATTCCCGAAGGAGCTGGGAGCCTGGGAGCAGAGAAGAACAAGAACCTTTGTAACCTGCACCTGCCATCAACTGCTACACAACCCAAGTCTTTCCAGATGATACCCTTCTTGCCCCCAGCAGTGCTGGAAAAACCTGCTCTTCCAAGAAGGAACAGAGGAGGAAATAATAGTAGGTGAGTGTCAGTTCACAGCTGTAGAAGGGAAGGTTTTGGGGAAGAGCTCATAGTGGCCTTCCAGTGCCTGAAGGGGCTTCAGGAAAGCTGGGGAGGGACTTGGGACAAGGGCAGGGAGGGATGGGACAAGATTAAAACTGGAAGAGGGAAGATTTAGGTGAGGAGGGAATTCTTCCCTGGGAAGGTGGTGAGACCCTGGCCCAAGCTGCCCAGGGAAGCTGTGGCTGCCCCATCCCTGGCAGTGTTGAAGGGCAGGTTGGATGGGGCTTGGAGCAGCCTGGGCTGGTGGGAGGTGTCCCTGCCCATGCAGGGGGTTGGATCTAGATGATCTTTAAGGTCTCTTCCCACCCAAACCATTCTATGAATCTATGCAGAAGAACAACACAGTTCTGAGTTAGAAGTGGACGAGGGCAGTGAGAACACTTGGGTCCATGGACAGTGTGTCTCTGCCACCTCACCACGAGCTGCACTCAGCAGAAAGTCAGGGCTGGGTTGTGCAGCTCTTGTGGTTACTCTGGCACCCCTGCCCAGATAACACCATGATCCAGCACTCACAGAGCTCACGTACTGCCCAGTTCTCCATCATTCCCCTGAGACCTGAGGAGCTTCAAGCAACTCCTAAGAATACAGGGTGAGGAAGGAATGTTGTAAGCACAAGGCATCTACAGACCACATTTAGGAGGCAGGAATGGCCAGCCAGAGGGTGCCTAGATGAACATTAAAGCCTCCTGAGGACAAAAGAGCCAGCCTCAGAGGGAACCTTTTTCCCCTTCCTTCCCCCTATTACAAACTACAGAGCTTAGGGCAAGCAGAGGTGAAAACCTCATCATCACCAGCTGTGCTCAGAAGCTGAAAAGCAAAGTTGAAATGGCACAAACAGGTGGAAGAGAAAAGCCTCTCCCTAGAAACACCCCATGGACCCCCCCTGCTTGCACCTGCTTCCTGAAGCCACAGACATGACCACGTCTTGGCCACCACACAGAAATGTTAGTGCACACATCCCAGCAGAGCTCACAGAAGCTGCCCTACAGGTACAAGGCCTTCCCCAGCTGCACCACCACCATCCAAGTGATTAAACTAAGCAGAGCTGTGGAGTGCAGCCTCTGAGCAGTTTAAACCTGAGTTCACTACATATCCTCATGCAAACTAATTCTAACCTGATGTTCAATCCCATGTATCAGAGCACTGATCAGGACTTGGATCTGATCAGATCCAAGTCACCCAGGTGACTCTGGAGGTGACACATGCTCCTGCCATCCCCAGCCCTGCTCATCCCCTGCCTGGGGGGTGGCACAGTCTCTATAAACACCCTCTCACCAGCCCCAGCCTGAGCTGATGCTGCTGTAGCCATCTGAGAAAGGAGGATCTGCAAAGCTCTGATGGAGTTGGGCTGTGGAGGATGTCCTGCTTCCCTCTGCCTTGCAGCAGAGCTCACACTGCCCATTCCCACCCCTCAGGTGGGGCAGAAGCAGATTCCTGAAGCCTTTACATTACTTCAGGAGTTTGTCTAATTACATCCTTAGGGCTTTGCCAGTCCCTGCCATTACTACTGCTTTTCTTTGAGCCCACTGAAGAAACCTGCACTCCCCCAGCTCCTCCAACCACAGCAGCATGCTGCACTCCAGCAGGAGCCCAACCTGATGGCCTTCAACTGGACATAGCTCCTCTTTGCTTCCAAAATGATTTGAAGTTAACAAATGGTGAGAACAAAGATCTTCCAAGCTATGGCAAAAGGTGGCAGAACTGGCACAGCACTGAGAAATGAACGACCAAGCCCTGCAAAACTGATGAAGGACCATGAAATAGTCGATCATGTCCCTTGTGAGCCTCAAGACCAGAGCTCAGAACTGCTACCACCACCTAGTGGGAGACTCACCCAGCTGCAGCGCTTCCTGGTACCTCTTGGTATCGAAGTACAAAGAGACCAGCCTGGCCTGGAGAATAGAAAAGGAACTGCTGTGAGGGAAGCCAGAGAAAGGTGGGACAGGTTTATTTGGTAAAATCAAACTTTTATCTTCTTATCTGCACAGACTTCAGGAAATTAGTTGGTGTTAATTACATTATATGGATCAATTCTGCAAGATTTACCACTTGGGAGATTGGTGAGTTTCAACACAAGGGGTAAAATTGTGTGTACTCCAGAAGACTTATTAACTTCAGTGCCATCACCTATCCATTACATGCACCAAGATCTGGACATCACACTATAAACTCCCTGATTTTAGAGGTATTAAATCTGATAAAGGAAAGACATGATCACCCAGGTTTGGGATCCATGGTGTAACCTACCTCCAGAGCCTGGCGTAGGAAAGTCCTCTTCTCTGATTTGGCCCATTCAATACACTCTAAACACAGGTCAACCTTCAAAGGAGCAGAAAGAAATTGGTCAAATCTTCTGCTGCCCCTCTCAGAGCAGCAGTAAGTTCAGTCATGTCTCACAAAGCAATGAAAAGACAACAAGGCCTGAATCTCCAGAAGTCACTCCAGCACTGCTCCATATTGAATTAGCTCTCCTTTAAAATCAACCTGGTGATGAAGCTTCATCCTTAGCACCTACCCCAAATCTCTGAACAACTTGAATATTACCAGGGCAAAGTGAAGCTCACCATGGATAAGAACTGCAGCCCACAGGGGAAGGTGAAGTGACTTCTTTCAGCAAGGGCTCATGACACACTTCAACCTCTCAGGGTGTATCACGTTCACATCAGAGTTGAAACTCACAGAAATGTCACACAAAATTATACAGAACAGCTAAATTGTACTGCATATTTTAATAGTCTATTTGCTAGATTTCCTGCAGTTTGGAACCACATTCCCAGTATTATACTACATAAGTAAAGACTTTTTACAAGGGCTTGTAGTGAGAGGACAAGGGGCATGGATTAAAATTGGAAAAGAGGAGATGTAAGTGAGAAATGAGGAGGAAATTCTTCCCTGTGAGGGTGGTGA